CCCAAAACCCTCCAAATGGGGAGGGGGCAGAGGTGCTATAACTTCAGTCCATCATCACTGCTGAGGGAAGTGCCCAATGCCCAGTTTCCAATTTGGAAAGAATTCTGTTTGTTTGATCTTGGTCCTCCCCGGTTCCTCAACCCCAGTTCAAAGCCTTGGCTTTTGACTCCTCCAATTTTGTTGAATAAATTAGTAGATCAATACTTAAGGACAAAAGTAGCTGAGGCAAAGGAGATGTGATGAATAAAGTTCTGGAGAGCCTCTAGAGATATAATGGACAGCAGGGTGGGGTAGGGGACGGTAGGTGTCATGTCATATCTGAGGAAAGGAGGACAGAAACTGAGGGTGGACAGAAACTGTGGAGGTGTAGATGTTTCCTGAGTTTGGGAAGGAGAAATGAGCAGGGTCAAGTGATCCGGTGACTATGCATCAAGGATTTTCTAGGTAACATATTAGGTCTCATTTGAATATTATGCCATGTTGTTCTTTTTTAAATTTATATATTTTTTTAGTTGTTGATGGACCTTTATTTTATTCATTTATATGTGGTGTTGAGGATCGAACCCAGTGCCTCACACATGCTAGGCAAGTGCTCCACCCCTGAGCCACAACCTCAGTCCCCCATGTTGTTCTTATTCCTATCATATGTCAACATCTATATGATTCAGTTCCCTCATTTTTGAGAGCCAGGCAAGGCAATCTGACTGTCACTGGAGGAGAAAATGATGGTGAATATATCTAGCTTTTATTGAAAATCTTTCTTTGGCTTATGGCTTAAAGTTATTTAAATTGTTTTCAGAGCTAATGATAAGAAGTTATTTTGGAAATAAAATCTGTATAATGTCTAGAAAGAGAATGTGTATGACTTGGGAAATTTTGAAAAGAGAACAACATTTTTTTTCCCCTTTAAGACCTTAACATTTTTTCTTTCAATATAAATTGAGCAGAGGCACCATATATCATTATAACCAAAGAGACTTTTAAAAAATCTGTTTTAGTAAGATATTTTAATAAATGTGTCAATGTGAAAGATATTCAGGCTGATATTCTTAAGTCTTTTTTTTTTTTCTTTTGGTACTGGGGATTGAACTCAGGGGCACTCTACCAGTGAGTCACCTCCCCAGCCCGATTTTGTATTTTATCTAGAGACAGGGTCTCACTGAGTTGCTTAGCACTCTCTGTTGCGGAGGCTGGCTTTGAACCCTCTATCCTCCTGCCTCAGCCTCCTGAGCCGCTGGGATTATAGGCATGTACCACCCTGCCCAGTTGAGGCTGATATTCTTAATAGCTGACCAATTCAATAGATTTTTCTTGATCTTGAATCCAGCAGGGCTAATTAAGATTTTGTTGGCATGACAGTTAATAATATTATGTTAGCTTAGGAAGTCCAGAAGACAGAGGTCAGAAATTATGGTGGTTTGTGAATATTTGCACTGTTATTCAGATTTTATTTTATTTTTTGTATTTTACGTACCCAGGATTGAACCCAGAAGGGGCTTAACCACTAAGCAACATTACTCATCCCTTTTTATTTCTTTATTTTGAAACAAGGTCTTGCTAAGTTGCTTAGGGCCTTCTAAATTGCTGAAGCTGGCTTTGAACTTGTGATTCTCCTGCCTCAGCCTCCTGGGTTGATGGGATTATAGTCATGGGCCACCAAACCTGGCTGATATTTGGGTATTAAAAATACCCAAATATAGTTGTTTTATTTAAAGCAAGAAATACCGAGACAAAAAGTGCCACACAATTTACTGAGTAACTACTGCATCATCATGCGCTCACTCCCTCAACCTGCGATCTGTCCCATTCCTCTCTCTCTCTTCTCAATATTAGAATTGGCATTTTAAAACAATCACATAGAAAAGATTTCTACTTACTCTCTCAGCCCAGGGGAGGGTCCAAACTCTAGGCCAGTGCATGAGGCCCTTCCATTGACTTGGTTTTGTTTAATTTTCAATTCATTTTTCATTCAGTCTCTTCTATGTTACATACCCTAAGTTTTAACTCAGTGCTTTTCAATTGTTCTGAAGATTATTTGCATCAGTATTAAAAAATGCAGATTCCTGGGTTCTACTCAGACCTTTGAAATTAGAAGCTTAGGAAGGCAGGGGACAGAAACCTATCATTTAATGAGTCTGCAGATATTCTTACTCACTGAAATTTGAGAGACACTTCTAACTGCCTTGACAGTCTTAACATCTTGGTATACCTTTGTAAGAACTTTCCAAATTATTAAACTCATCAGAATGCATGTCATCATTTTCAGGGCAGAAAATACCATCCCCATTGTCTAGAAGAAAGAAAGTTTCTCTCCAGGAGGAGGGTGTGTTCTTCCCCTGAAAAATTCTGCCTAGCTGTGGAAAGAAGAAAAATAAAATTCCATTGGCTCAGGAAGGCTGAGACCTCTTAGGTGTCTGTAAGAACCCTCATCCTTCTTTCATGGTCTATTCCCAAGTGTCCTTTCCTCATTTCTCATTATATCTTTAACTGCACCATGAACCCAGACAAGCTGAAATACCTCCCATCTATGTACCTTCCCTCAACAGCTGGGCACCATTCTGATTTTCAATTAAGTCCTAATGCAAGCTTTCTTCTTCCAGAAAGCCTCCCCAGATTCTAGGTGATAGAATCACTTCATACCTTGCACCACCATCCAATTTCACTCATGTCATCTTCTTATGTATTTTGGACATAAGTCAAATGTCCCTAAGTCCCACATACTTCTGCACTGCACAGATGCAGTCTCACTAGTGATAATATCTGAATTTATTATCTTGGAAGCCTTTTTTTTTTTTTCTTTGGCCCAGGGAGTTCCAGGGCTGTCTTCTTGTGTACAAGGAGTACACACTCTCTGGGGCTGCTGGTGTTCAGCCAATTTTTTCTCCATCTCTCTCTCTACTTAAACTCAAAATCCCTTCATACAAATCCTTCCATGGCTGCAGGCTTCAAAGGCAGTGCCACTTTCCCCAGAAGGTTGGCTAGCATAGTCAGCCCTCAAGATTGCCACACGTGCACCTTACTTGGAAAACAGTCAGTGCTTTGAACTCCAGAGTTGTTAAATGGCTTGGGAACATAATTTAAAAACTGACGAATTGGATAAACATCCAGAGGATGAAAATGTAACCAGGGCTTGAGATGAGCCAGGTGACACCACTGGACACTGAACCTGGTTCCAAGTTTCCTGGCAGCCACAGCATTAAGGGAACATCTGTTACAGGATGCCTTTGTTTTCATTGTCAGCAAAAGTAGGGCTGCCAGAAGATGCTTTCTAATGTATCACCCAACACAATGGGCCCGACTCTTAGTAAGTGCAAAGCCAATAAGCACAACTGAAGAGTGAAGAAAGAATACTTGTGCAGGCACGGAGAGCCCCGTGTATAGCTCCCAAAGCAGAGTCTTCTGAACACTGAAGCAAAGAGATTTTATTAGGAAAACATATAATAATGAGACTATAATGAGGAAAGTTACACTCTTGGTGTTTTTTCCCCCCGCTCTGGAAGGTCTTATTTGAAACAAACAACTTGAAGGAATGTTAGACAAGCTTTATTTTGGGGGGTGAGGTGGGTATGGGGATTGAACTCAGCGGCACTCGACCACTGAGCCATCCCCAGCTCTATTTTGTATATTGTTTTTAAGAGACAGGGTCTCACTAAGTTGCTTTGCACCTCCTCGTTGCTGAGGCTGGCTTTGAACTTCTGATCCTCGTGTCTCAGCCTCCCCAGCTGCGTGCGCCATCGCGCCCGGCTAGACAAGCTTTTGAGGGTGGAGGCTCTTGTCCCTAAAAGTTCCTGTCTGGCAGCCAACAAATGCACTTAATGCCTCCCTTTTCTTTTGGGCCCGCTCAAACTTTGGAACCTGGGTTCTTGGCTACCCCAAAGTGAGCAGCCTGGAAACTCTGCGGAGGAGTCTTCCAGAAGGGACCCCCATGGGGCTCTGGCGAGGGACTGGGTCCGGTGCGTCTTCTCTCTCCTGCCGTCGGTGCGCACCCTGGGCAGATGGGCTGGCTTGGTCTTATTCCAATGTCCTGTCAAACTAGAGGCGTCAGCATCAGCAGGGTGAAAGGAGGTGGCCCTTGGGTGGCTTGCCAGTTCCACCGCGCGCAGAGGTAGGGGGCACGGGCAGCCTCCCTGGACCCTGGCGGCCAGAGCCCGGCTGCAGCCCCCGCCTCGCGGGTGGCGGGGCGGGGCCTCTGGGGGCGGGCCCTCGAGTGGGCGGGGTGTCGGCGCCGCGGGGTGCTGGCGGCCGCAGCGGCGGAGCGGAGGGTGCGCAGGGGAGGGAAGGGCCGGCGGCCGCGCCGAGGGAGTGAGTCACCTGACCGCTGCCCGCGCCGCCCGCCGCGCGCTCGCCGCCGTCAGTCGGGCCGCGCCGCGCTTCGGCTCTGGTGAGTGGCTGGGCCGCCCCGCCTGCCCGTCCTCCCCAGGGTGGGTCAGCGCGCGGGGTCGGGGCTGCAGGCCGAGGGGCAACCTGGGGGCAGGTCCGGGAGGCGTCGGGGGTCCACGGGAGGCGCTTCGTGGGCGAGGGTGGTGCGCAGCGTGGCTCGCAATTGGCCCCCATTCCTGGAGCGTCCGCGCCCGCGTCCGCGGAAGGGGCGACCCGAGGCTGCTGCGCGGCCAGCGCTGCTGTGTGACCGCCGAGCGGACTTTACCCGGGCCGGCGGGGCGGGGCGCGCCGGGCAGCCGAGTGCCGTCCCCGTCCCGACCCGCGCCCCGCCTGCCGGCGACACATCCGCACCGCCCTCGCGGCCCCTGCCCGGTATTGTCCTCCGCCCCTACCGCGGCGTCCAGCGAGCTGCTGCTCCGGTAGCCTGCGTGTGTGTCGCGCGTGCAACCACGTAAGGAAGGCCGAGTTCGTGGCCGAGCCAAGACACAGCCTTGCTGCGCTAGGTTTAGCCAAGATTGATTTTCGGGACCCGAGTTCCCGGAGCTCCCCTTGCAGGAGTTTTGCCCACACGTTGTAAATTAAGCCTCTTACAATATGGTGAGAGTGGGTGTAAATTCTGGAGACACCAGCTTTGTGCTCGCGTAGTGTAACGCGAGTGCCATTGCCTCTTCATTCTTACCGGCAGCTCCTTGCCATTGAGTAGAAAGGTGCGGAATGCTTTTATGTAGAGCCTTCTGCGTTCGACTTGGGCTGATTCAAGGTAGAGCGTAGTAGTAATTGTGAAAGAACGTGTGTGGGGAAAACAAGCTACAGCGTCACGCTTGGAAGAACAAAGACTGTTTCGTAGGGTGCTGATCTTTTTGGAGAATGATATCGGTGTCGGAACTGTTACCTGGAGGAGGCCACTCTTAGGTCTTTGTTCACTTGTTGGGACACTCATTTCATCCCAGAGGGCTTGCATTTAAGGCATTTCGGAAAGATAAAGGGTGGAAATCTCGGAGATGTTAGCGGCAGAGCCCTTGAGCGCTTCACATGGTCAAGCAGAGAAATGGGAAGAGGTGTGGGCCTGCTTCTTCCTGGTGTTGGGGTAGTGGTGCAAGGGCTGGGCTGGGCTGGGCTTGAAGGCACTTGCCACTTCTGTCTTTGGACATCATAAAGAAACCTAGGGAAGAAAAAGGCCCCTGGTGAGTCGGTTGGGAGTAGAGTAGCCTTGGTGTAGGGATTGCTCATGTATTACTGTTGTTTAGTCTATGAATCTGTCAAGTGGCTTACCATTGTTCAGTACGTTGGTTGGATAACAAGGTAGGGTGACTCTTTAAAAAAAAGTTGAGTTGCTGAGTCATTCGCCCCAGCCCAAGAGGTAATTAGGAACAGCTGGTGCGATACTCTCATCACATGCCTCGACTATAAAAGGCCAGGGAGCACGCTTGCCTCAGAAGGTCGAAGGGGACCAGGCCACAGTTGTCTGTGTTGATACAGGTAATGAGTGAGTGAAGTATAAGAGGATTCTTAGGAAGTGGCTAAGTAGCATTGAGGTGGTGTTTAAACAGAGTAGCCTTGTGACCTGTTGCAGGAGAATGTGAGGCCATAAAATTTGCCGATAGGAGTAACCCAATCAACAGTGTTGTAACAAAAATTTTACCATTTGTACTGTACTTATTGTACTTTTTTTGTGGTTTTGTTACTGAGTATTTTATATGTTTCAGAAAGTGAACTTAATTTGTTCCTTATAAAAATTTATTTATGGAATCATATAAGGGGGTTCCATATCATTTTTCATGGCTCCTGGATTTTCATGCATACATGAGTAGTGTGATACCATCAGGGAGTAGGTAAGAACAATATGGGTGGATTGGCAGGTCTTATAGGACAAATCTAGAAAGAGCTGTTAAGAAGCAACAAATGTATCTGTCTCATTCTCTTGGTATATGTGTCTATATCTTGTGTCATTGCATTTTGCTTAAAAAATGAGTGGGTGAATGACAGGAGTAAACATCAAGGATGAATAAACAACATGAATCAGCAAAAGGACTTGTTTTGGACTTGTTTTGGACTTTGCAGTGACTAAGTGACTTTTTAGTTGTAAACATGTTTTGGTTATAGGATGACTAGATAGTATGCCCATGTTAGATAAGTTGATGATGTAACTAGGTAGTGTGCTTATGTTAGATAAGTTAGACATAAACAAGTTTGTTGTAAACATATAGAGTATATAAGCGCGAGGGAAACTCCATGTATTTGCTCACAATCAACTCTCATCGCCTGAGAGTAAGATCGTGCAGTGTGAGCCAGTCACCTCGTGTATTGCTTTGTGTGGTGTGCGAATAAACCAGCATTTCAAAAGGCAATCGAGTTCGTGCTTGGTGTTCGCGTACGTCGCGGTCCGGGGTCCAGTGCAGATATCCGGAAGGGAACTCCTGGTAACCAGACAAGGCTGAGAAGCTGCTCGTGACAGTGAACACACGGAAGGAGTCCTCAAAGCAAGGTTTAGGAATGGAAAGTTTAGTTGGGGGGTGGGGGTGAGTAATCTGGCCCTTACCTTTGACTAGAAGAGTGATTAATCTTTTTTGGTGGTAGTTCATTTAAAACATTTTGTAATAGGAAACATGATCCTTTCATGGCTGTAAGTTTGGAACCAAAGATTAGCAATCACGACTTTTTTAGGTATTAGGGTTTCTAAGGTGGGGTACCAGATGGTTCATCTGAGAAGAAAATATTAAAACTTTGCCCCCCCACCTTTTTAATTTTTTTTGGCAGTGCTGGGGATTGAACCCAGGCCTTGCTTGCAAAGCAAACATTACCAACTGAACTATATTCCTAGCCCTAAAACTTTGGTTTTTAAGAGTTTTACATAAAATAAGAAAGACATTAAGATGAAAGATACAGATTAACAGTAGTGCATGCATATTGTTTAAGATGAGTATATGTTGTTCATTCTTTTTCTCTTGGGGAATATAAAGAATTTAATTCTTTTAACACCTGGAATTTTTTTTTTAAACTTGTGATTTCTTTTTAAGAGCTATAGTTGTTTAAATTTATTCTTAGTGGTTTAATTAATTCTTATTTCATGTGTGGTTCTATTCTTTTTATATTACTTTGAAGGTTAGATGCTTGCATGTAAATTTCTTATTACATTGGAATTAGGTATGGGAATTTAAAAAAATACATAGTTCTATTCATTACCATCCTATTTTGAATTTGGTTCAGAATAGTGGTTGGTTTGCTTAATGGGTATAATCTGAAGTGTAGTGATAGGTAAGAAGTTACAATGGGAACACTTGAAGATAACATATACATTGGAGTACAATATTTATATAAAAATAATTTTAAAAATTGCTTTGTTCTGTTGATGTTTGAAAGCCTGTTTATTGTTTGTTTTTTGCCAAGCTCTTTTTTGTTTGTTTGTTTGGACAAGCCCACATCCCTTTGATGAGGATTGCTGACTAGTGTTCAGCAAAATCTCTTGGAAAATGGCATTTATTTAGAAAAGACTACCTTCTAGGAGTGCTGGGAGCCATTAGTATTTATCACTGACTTAAATCTCATATACCATTCACCTCCTATATCCCTGTACTGTGAGACGTGATGCCCAGAAAAACAGTTGCAAAACCCGTTAAGATTACTAGGATTACTTATTACTAGATTATTTATTCTCTTCACTGTGCTAATTTCTTTGAAGACTTACATTTTAGGAATCACCTCCTCCCTTCAGTTTTCTGACTGATGCGCTTAATGGGAAAATTGTTTAAACCCTAAAACCCACATCTCCTGACGGTCCTACAAAATGTTGTGGAGTAGACGATTTATGAGATTTTTTGACTTTAAAAAAATAAGGTAAAATACTGATGTCCAAGGTATGGGTAATTTGAGTGCTATTTGCAAAAATCCAGGCCCCTTGGAGGGAGTAAGACAGGAAGGCAGATAAAATATTAACTTACATCACCATGAAGCCCGGCCTTCTGGCTTACTTAATGCATAGCATTAATAGAACTGAAGTTGTAGTTGGTTCATTGTACAGGTGACAGAGAAACCATATACCAAGTGGTTGTAAGTAGGAGATAGGGAGCCACAGACTGCCGAGGAAGGTTGAGTTCTGGCTGTGTTATCCCTTTTGAAGCCAGTTCTACCTGGTGACTAGTGCCTTGTCTCCTCAGTGCGGTTGAAGTGACAGTAGAATCTAGATTGTTGTGAGGATTAAATGTGTTAATAGGGATTAAGTGGTTGGAACAGTGCTAGTTTATTTTAAACATCAGTAAATGTTAGTTGTTACTTTCTATTGTCCAGAGTCAGGGAAGTGCTTGGTTACACAGCCACATTTTGTAGCTTCCGCAGCCACTGACCGCAAGTGGGTATGAGGAGCACAGCATGTCATTGCTACTGGAAAAACAATTCAGTGTCCTCTGATGATGAGTTAGTAGCACCAGTTCTCTCACACCTAGTTTCTGAGGGTAGGGAACCCAGGACACAGCTTTTTACTTAAATCTGACAATCTCAGCAGAGTACGCTAGAGCACATTGCTCTGTCAGTACCTGTTAATTGAAATTGGTGGTTTTTTTTTTTTTTTTTGGTGTGTGTGTGTGGGTGGGGGTGGGTATTAGGGACTTAACTCAGGGGCACTCAACCACTGAGCCACATCCCCAAGCCCTTCTTTCTATTTTATTTAGAAACAGGGTCTCACTGAGTTGCATAGCACCTCCTTTTGCTAAGGCTGGCTTTGAACTCGTGATCCTCCTGCCTCAGCCTCCTGAGCTGCTGGGATTACAGGTGTGCACCACTGTGCTTAACTTCTGAAATTGGCTTTTGAAGAAATAAAAACACTTGCCACTCTCTGCCTAGTTTCTTCTCTACATTATAGTTGAGGACAATCTGGTTTGTCAGTATTAAGTCACCTGGTCACTCTCTCCCTGCTTATTAATTATAGGGGGCTAAACTCATTTCTCAGGTCTTATTCCTGAGCTCTATCAGGTTTATTTGGAACATTTGGAATGTACATTTATCTGCCAGTTACTTCTTTTGAGTACTGTTTTTTTTTTTTTTTTAAGATGACATTTCCATGTTAACTTGGAGAAATTATCCATAATATTAATATGAGTAATACAGTGAATATGTTTGTCATGTATCTTGTTATACCTGTTAATAATTCAGAAAGTGAGACCCTGTTTCTAAATAAAATAGAAAGAAGGGCTTGGGGATGTGGCTCAGTGGTTGAGTGCCCCTGAGTTCAATCCCCAGTACCAAAACAACAACAACAACAACAACAACAAAGCCAATTTCAAAAGCCAAAATTTTTTAAAAAATTACACTCTATTGAAACAAAAATAGAGTGTTAGTTTTCTGCTAGTGAGGATCTATTTTCTCTCCTGTGTCACACTGAATGTGCCTTTTCTGTGTTTGTTTACAAGCTATCCATTGGTTGCTGCACTGGATGGTCTAACTGGATTAATAATAATTCCATGAGTTTTGAAACTTGGAAGTTTTTAGAAGATTGAAGGAGAGAACATTATGTGTCACAACTCTTAAGTGTATAGTGAGCTGAAACTGTTGGATTTCTGCTTTGTTGTCATCATTTGTGTGATGACTGAGGAAGCAGCTGGTTCGTCTCCTGAGAAAGACAGAAAACTTACTTTGTGACTTGCTTTTACCTGTAATTGACTTAGAATGAATGAGCAATTCAAATTTGAGTTGTTTAGATGTTAACCATTTTATACATTAATACTTTTCTTTTAGTGTCATTACTCCTCCAAAACATATCCTTAGTTTAGAATTGGAGTCAGTTTGGAAAATATTAATATGGTAATAAAAGTCATGCTAATACAGACATAGGGAACAAAGAAGTAGTGGTTGCCAGGACCCTGGATGCTAATGACTGCTGCATGGGCACAGAGGACATGCCATGGAGCTGGCTGGCTGCACATTCCTTTCTGGGCATTGGTACAATGTAGAAAATGTTACCATAATACAGCTGAAGCTGTGTGCAAATCATATTCTTTTAAAAATGAATCTTTTTTTTTTCTTAATGCCATAGGAAACTTGTTCAAAAGAATATGTTTGTAATGATTATTCCCAGTATTTATTTGTTGAAGTGATTTTTACTCTTGTCACCTTTTAGATTGGGTAAGTCCTAGTGGACAGCCATATTCCTCTTCCTCATCCCTAGTTAAACTGGAGTTATACTAAAAGATGCTTCATGGAGTGGGGCCATGGTTTTCAACTTCTTTGAAGTCTGAACTTTAGCAATAGCTTACCTCCTAGACTGTAGTTTAAGTAGTAGATTAAAGGAATCTGCCTGCTCTCCCCACTTTCCATTAATCTTTTCTTTTTTTATTGACTTATCTGTCCCTAGGAATCTGTGGGGAAGTGCTTTGGGCCTAAGGAGGTGAAGTCTACAGGGTTCTGTTGAAAAAACGGGGGAGAGCCACCCACCCAACTCCCTAATTACTGATACCTTCATGTACTTAATAATCAATTTATTAGGTTGT